TTTTATTGATGTTGTTGTGAAATGGCCAGGGAGTGTACATGATGCCAGAGTATTTTCCAACTCCACAATAAACACAAATCTGAAACACATGAAGATTCCCCCCTGTCCAAGACAAATTGTGGAGAACGAAGAAAACCCATCAACAATCGATGTGGTAAGTTTATCCAGTGTATTGGACATTTTAGAATAGTTTTCAGCTGCTTTTCTTTCTGATGTCTCAATGATTTCCACCAGTCTCTTCTTTACACGCAGGTCTTCCTCAAGAGCATTTAGCCACTGGGTCTCAGCAGGCAGCTTTCTCTTCAGCCGGTCGTGCCTGTGTCCTTTCAGTTTTGCCTTAAAAAGAGAAAAGAAAAACATTGCAATTAAACTTACAAAAGTAATCCTATCTCATGTCAGATGTTCTAGTTTTTCACATCACCTCTACATATTAATGGCAGAAGATCCAATATTTGCAATACACTATATGTCTTAACAGTGTATTTTGTATCCACCACAACAAATTAATAAATATGCAGGCCTTATATGAGAAGAGTAAGAGCAAAACGGTGTAATTTGTTCTTTACATTAATTAAAAAAACAGCAACCTTTATACAGTAAAATATAAAAAAATCTCATCCTACCTCCACTAGACACATCGATTATTGCATCTTTTCTAACACAAATATTGCCTTAACGGTTTTTATAATAATAGCAAGACTACAACTCAAACCTATTCTGTGAATTACAGTACATCAAACAACTGAACATTTATTGCTAAGGAACTTTCATTTATGAGGAATGGATCTTAAAAATATACGTACATTAAGCAGGTCTCTCCTCTGCTTTGATGTAGGATCCACACTGCTTTCATTGTCAGACCCTGTGTCTGCTACGTCCATGGTGGAGGAAGAAGACGTGGACGGCGAGGGTAGGGACAGGGAACGATCCAGATCCTCTGTTTCGATACCCGACGGCGAGGTAGTAGTAGCTGAAGAACCGCCCCAAATTTATTCACACAGTTCAAAGTAAAGAAGAACCACTCGACCGTGTCCACTCCTGCATCCTGTATAAACAGCCTGGCGATATTTCCCTCGGACTGTTTTCATTTCTGTTGTTAAATTCCCCCGCTTAATTTCGGTTTTTGAATGGGGAAACTCATCTGAGGACTCCGTTGGGTAATGCTCTAAAAAAAGCGACAAAATGTCAACGTACTTGCTCTGACATGATTCCCAATCGATACTGTCTTGCGTTTTACTAACTTTGTATTCCAACACGGTACTTAAAAGTAGTTCAACCTCGCGGTCTGTCCACACAAACGAACCTCCAGGCACCATGATCAAAACAGGAAACTGTGGTCGTTTTGGAGGATTTTGATTGGCTGACATACGTTTCATCTTTGCACTGCATTGCCCCCTATGGGTTGGGCATGTTTCTTACAACGCTCAGTGGTGAAATTCAGCGGGTTCATGTGGACGCAGATTTTCCTCTAACCGATCCTGTGTGGACGGTGATATTTTTTTGGCGGACATATTCGTTTTTTAAAGACCCGGCTACGTGTGTACAAGGCTTCAGGCTCCTTCAAAAACAAGAAAACAGAAGTTCTCTGATAAAGAGGTGGTTGAATAATTCAATCAGGAACAAACCCAGATGAGCTGCTGCCTTTGAACAGAGTCACGAGTTGGAGAGTGCTTTAATAGGATGTGACTCACAGTAAAACAACAAATCTTTGATTTAACAGGAAGAGAGGTTGCGTTAAAAACGCCAATATTGTGGAGCGAGGTTCACCTCCGCAGAGATGCGCCGGTTCCCTTTGTTCCTCAGACAAACACCCGTGGGCGACTGCACCTCGTCAGACGATGTTCCTGATGCCTGGTCGCTCTCCCCGTCAGAACCCATCTTCATATTCTCATGAACGATATCTGAAGAGGAGGAGGGGTAGAATCAAACAGAGGACACACAACAGGAAAATTAACGAAAGAAAACAAAAAACATACTGAGCTCTTGGCTGAATCATACCAAGGAAACAGAAGTAAATAAGACTGAATTTGTCTGACAGATTTTATTTAGGTCAGGGAATCAGGGCCTTAGGAAATAAAAGCATCAAATATAATTTTACTCATGTTTAAGTTCATTCAAATTTCTATACTTAGCCCAAAAATAAGGAAATTCGTGTTTGGCAGATTATTTCTTTGTTGTAATGATGCTTCTTGGCAATAAATCTTTTACTGTTGGAAAACCTGCCTGGTTCACAAAGACTGATTTTAAAATTGTCGGCTGATTTTTGTAAGGACTGAGAGACCCCACACATGACAATAAAAAAATCATAGATATAACAGGTTCAGTCCTACAGTGTGTGAACAGCCACACGACAAAATACAACATAGAGGGGAAATGTAGCCAGACTTCTCCAGATCAAACGAGAGCCCAGAGTAAACAAACATGGCTGATGAGAAAGACGCAATGGCCAAAGTTTGTGGACTATTTTTAACAGAGAAAAAACAAATCGAAAATGCGTCTGACGTTCCAGTGCAGCATGGCATTTGTTTTCTCTTCTGTATTTTGGATTCTCCTCCGTGTTTCCATCACCTCAGTTTCTGATTGGCTACACATTCAACAGGCTGTGAGCTCGTTTGACTTCGAGGAACACCACACATGCTGGGTATCGAGTCGAGACAACATGTTAAACGTCCCCGATTCGAGGTCGGAGTGGTGCTGACTAGATCACTCCTAACACATGCCGGAGTGTCTCCTAAGATTATCTTTAGAGTCATCACAACAATCGGAGGGTCCTTCAGACTGCCAGAAGGGCAAAAATGGGTCAAAGTCGGCATAATTATCTTGTCATGTGAACCAGGAATAAATTTCCCTTTTAAAAAGGTGCCACATTTGTAAGGAACATACATTTATGTGATGAGCACTGGAGCTGAGTATGTGGGTTACGCACATGAAAAATTTACCATATCTTCTCTATCAGGTAAGAATTATTGCCAAGAAGCATTGTTATAACAGATAATCTATCAAACACAAGATTTCTTACTTTTTGTGCTGAGAAAATATATAAAACGACACATTTACATTATGTCAGGAGATTGTTTTCATGTTGGCCAAAACTTAAAACACAAACTCATGGTTTCACTGAAAGTATTAAAACTCATTTTTTGGAAAAAGAATAAATAAAAATGCAATTCTTTAATGTGTGTCTTCACAAACACATCTTTGCGCGCTTGTGTGTGTGCATGTTTTCACACATGAATGCAGTGCCTTTGCCCAGTGAGATGTTCAGAACTTTATTTTTTGCTGCTTTATACTTTTCAACACCTTTATCCCTGACCTGTCTGCTGTGTTCCTTGGTCTTCGTGATGCTGTTCGATCACTAATCCTTGAGGCCTTTCAAACAACACTAAATACTAACAACACAAATCTGAGGTTTCGTTTCCTTTGGAAGCCAAAGGCAAAAAGTTAAACACGACTGTGCAGTATGTTTGCGTCTCACCGAGGCGGCTGCCGTTGCGAGGCAGGACCATGAGCGAGCCCAGACCTCCTCCGATGACGCTCTGCGGCCGTCGGATCGGCGGCTTCTTAAAAGATCCCGTGTACTGATGAAGAAAGGAGTGCACGCTGTGGGCCGAAGGAGGCCGGCCGTTCTTCACGATGGGCTCTGCTGGAGAAAACCAACACTGGGTTAATGATTATAAATAAGGAGGCCCGTCTGTGGAGAGCGCAACATGAATGTGTCACCAACACAAATGACACGATGAGGAAAACGCTGACTTTTAGAGAATCTCTGAAAGAAAAAATATAAATAAACTCAGCTCAGTGTTAAATCTTTGTTCCCTTTTTTCAGACTGAAAATGAATTTACATGATAAGAGAGTCTGACACAAGAGCCTGAATGAGTTATGCAGTACATCAAGTTCCAGCCAGTTTTACATCTTAGGTTGGTTTAGGTGCTCAAACAGAGGCAGATTGTAAAAATAGTTTTGTTTATATTGTGTAGTGATGAAGACTCCAGTTATTTATTCACATTTATTTGTGACTTTTGTAAAGTATAGATACTTGAAAATATGTCTAAACACTAAAACAACAATTACAAAAAATCTTTTCACAGTTTAAAGTAGTATAAAAAACACCATTATTTAAAATTATTTTACTGCTTTCTGTCCAGTTGCAAGGTCAAATGGTGATATTAATCTGGAATATGAACTATAGAAAAATGTTTGTAAATATAGATTTTAAAACTATGAAAATATCATCTGTTTTCTTACAGAGTTCTGTCAAATCCATGTACTGTTAAAAAATGTATAAATGTATAAGAATATTAAGTTTCAAAGAAATAAAATTTCTTTAAAATGTTCAAATATTATGCTCATCAAATGTTTGAATAAAAAAAATCAAAAATGAATTTTCAGCTTAAAATAACTTCAAATGATCTATTAAGTAATAAATATTTATTTGATACACTTACATTTGGACTATAAGTTATATGTTTAATTAATTATTATTTTTATCCATCCATCCATCCATCATCTATACCCGCTTCTTCCTTTCAGTGTTACAGGGGTCAAATCACATTATTTTTATTTATTATTTAACTAATTATTTTATTTAATCATTAGGTGCAACGATACAGAAAATTCACGATTCGGTTTGATTCTATACTTTAGTCTCACGGTTCGATATTTGTTCGATACAAAAAAGAGACATTTCCATGCCCCTTTTAACTTGTAATTTATTTACATTAATTATGAACATTTGTTTAACCTCAAAAGTACAGTTTTTAAATTAAATGTTGCTGAAACAGCAAGTTTCTCAGTGGATCTGCGCTCGACTGCGCAGCCTAGGTGGAGTAGTCGAACACAGACCCACTGATCCTTTAACACAGAGCATCTTCAGAAGACAAGYTGATAAAGTAAATTTTAAAAATCTGTATTGTTCGATACAAGTGTGTATTGAACCTAAAGCACTCTTCGATACGGGTACATGTATTGTTGCACCCCTAATAATCATCTAAAGCAGCAAAAAACTGCACTGACTTGATTACCTTGGTGTTTTGCCATTTGAATTATTATCACCATTATGAAAGGTGGTGATGATGTCTGCCTGGGTACGAGTGTCTTTGTCTATTAGCAAAACATCTCATGAACCTCAGGCTAAAATTTAAGGAAACATTCAGAAAGCATTCACTAAATATACATCTAAAACGGATGAACTTTTAAAGCCATTCTGACTCAAGATGGCCACCAAAGCTAATTAAACTTAGTTGCACTAAAATGGCTACAACTCAAGTGTGCATTTGGACAAAGTTTTTTACTCTAGTATGAAATAAGACACGTTACAAATTTAAAATCACCTAAAATATTAAAGTTTTTGACATTAAAGCAAATTGGAAGCAGCAGTCTAAATCAGTTTTATTTTACTTTTTAGTTATGTTTACATTTTTGTGAATGATCAAAGTAACAAAATCAAAACCCACTGCTTTAAATGCAGGTTTTTAAAATAAATGAGAACCCTCCGATTATAAAGTACAAAAATGTTATGTTGTTTCATATCAGTGATACAAGAGTAACTTTAATTCCGGACTCCCACTTTAAATATGTCTCTCAGTGAGTAATCAGCTCCTTCAAAGATTATATATTTAGCACTGTTTGATCACGACTCATCGTCCTCAATAAATAATTGAGTGAATGAATGTTTCAGGAGCTCTTTTATTGAGTAACAAGGAAACTAAGCAACAAAAGAGAAGAAATCTATAATGTATAAATACATGAGTGGAGCGTTCACATTTTAATAATATTCCCACACTGTGGGGGTAGTGTAGGCTGGAGTTTCAGATATTTCTGGATATATGAGGCACGTATACTAAAATGCTCACACCAGATAGCAAACATGACGTTATATAAACAATGTAAGCTTTACAGCTTTGTTCATTAATTCTTACATTTTAGCTTCTGTTATTCTTTAATATGTCATCGATGTTTCTTAAAATCAATCAACTTAAAATTATTTTAGACATACTGTCTTGATTTTTATTGCTTGCACTTTACAACATTCAAAATAGGCAAAAGTTTGCAAATTATGTAATTATTTTTAATAATTAGGTGAGGATGTTGTTTGCAATCACATCGAGGGTGCTCAGCATACAGCAGAGGGAGCATTGATCAGTTACATAGGAGCTCATTACATGGAACTCATGTTCTTGTATAGATTTGTTAGCAACATTAAATAGGTGCTGTACAAAGCCTATCCTCAGGATTTCTGTTGCTTAACCTCTTTTATTTTGAAGTGTTTCTGCACCTCTTCCCTCTCTGAGAAGGGTGATATTCTATACAGTAAACGTAAAATGTTATTTAAACATTCAAATCCTCCCACTGTACTAAAAAACTGTAAGGTGTGCAAACTCAGGACTGTTGATTTTAAATCTGTATATTAAGAGTTTCATAAAGTCAGATTCTACATCAAGCTCACTATGTTTTATATATATTTATGTGACCCACTCCACTTCTCTCCTGCTAAACATTACTTAACAGCATTCACAACTCTGCTGGTCAAGAGTGAACTGGAAATCTACAGCTCCACCTACAAATACGAACTAAATTAGAGAGGTCCTTAAATTTTCTTAAACTCAGGGGGAAAAATAGGAATGACTTTGGGCAGTGAGGCTGAAACATCTGAAATAATCTGGAATATCTGTCTGCCCAGTTAAAGTACTGGATGTCAAATCATTCTGAACAGACCACAGTTTCATTTGACACACCTTTGTGTATATATACATACATAATGTATATGGAACATGTGTGCTGATAAATTGTTCATCATCCTGTCTATTTGCACACTGGAGCTTGGAGAAATGCAATTTCATTCAGCTATGAGAATGTCTGTGGTATACTCTGAATGACAATAAAGATGACTTTGACTTTATTTTTAATATAATTTATCCATTTTATCTACTTGTTGGTTAGAGGTAGTTTGTTGGTAATGTGTTAAATAGAGATTGTAAAAAAAAAAAAGCTGCTGTAACTGTTAAGGTTATCAAACATATGCTTCAAATATAGGTTCAACAAATAGTACCATGGACAAAACTGACAAATAATCAGAGAACTGAAACAATCCTCTCCAATAAAAAGCTATAAAAGATAAAAAACAGTGTATAACAGCAGCATATGAAAGGCAGCCTATTGAGTGACAGAAAATATTTTGTCCAAAGGCATAAACGGGTCTAAAAGGGGTGAAAGATTTATTGATCTTAAAGTAACTCCTAGTAAAACACTAACAAGGAAAGTACAGCTGAGAGGAGTTGCTGAGTGGCAGTCAGAGGTCAAAGGTCAGACAGTGAGAGGTGGCGGGTACAACTGGAACAGTGACAGTGGTTCTAAAGAGGATGTTTCTATCAGAGGGCTGAATGGATTTAACAGATTAATGTGTCTCTCCGTGTCAGAGGAAAAGATGTTTTTATGTGTTTATGACTGACGGATTTGTCTGGTCTCCAGTTTTCAGGATCAGCTGACCGTCGGCGCATCATTACAAAGTTTGCAACAGCTGACACGTCCTACGACGCAGCCAGATTTATTTTTGGACCGTTACTGTCGTCAGTGTTCTTAGATTTATACACAGAATTCCTAAAGTTGTGATAAAACAGAAAGCTACGCAGCCCTGTCATTCCAGTCCTTCTGTCAACTTTTCTTCATCTCTCAGCAGCTGCTGGCCCGAGTTCTGAGCGTTACATAAACAGATCAGAACCAGAACAATTTCTCCAATCGCACAGCTCAGATCAGATCTCATCTGGCTACTCCATTATGTCTCATCTCCACTCTGCCGACTGTCACACAGGCTGCTAAGCCCCTGCGTTTCCACCCGGCTCTCTTCATTTCACACACGCTGGGAGATTCTGCGTCCCCGTTTAACGAGCACAGAACGCTCCGGCCAAACCCGGCGTTAATCACAACACAAAAAGCTCATTACAAAACCCCGGTCAGTTCTCAGAAGCTGGTGGCAGAGAGGGAGGGGGGGACGGGATTAGCTCAGAGAGGAACAGAGGGTCACAGTCACACACACAAAAAACAAACTAACCGAGAGATGAGCGAAAAGAGAAAAAAAAGACCAGCGTGATAAAAGATGTCGGTTGGCTGCGCAAAGTCAAGTCGCCGTGGAAATGTCATGGAAACTCCAGGATGTTTCCAGACCCTGAGAGCTATAGCAACGACACGGCTGCACACCGATGCGCTCCCTCCTTCCAGCCCGGGGAGATTTCCTTGTGTTTCAACAGTGATGGAGTGCCGTGCCACCCAGGCTTTTATTTGGTGCCGTGAAGGCCACATTCTTCAGCAGGATCCTCACGGACAATACACTGCAGCAGTGTCTGTTTGAACAGAGCGAAGTGTGTTTGAGGGAACAAAAAGAAAAGACCGAGCTCATTTAATACACAGATGTGCAGACGAAGTAGGGATGCACCACTTTTCTGATTTCCATAATGATTTAATAAATCTTTGAGCTGCAGTTTCCAAATTTGGCTGATTTCTATCAAATAACTATTTAATGCCTCAACTTAAATTCTTTGTACCTAATTGCTGTCTGAATCATAAATCTGTTCACAAGAAAATGCTTACAGCAAAAATATCTTTTTATCTTTTCTATTTGTTTCAAAATAGCACAAAAGATCCAGAACTTTCCTCTTACTGAAAATCTAAAAATAATTTCTTCCAGATTATTGAACAAGGGTATTAGCACAAAATGCATTAATTTATTAACCTTTATTTAATCCCAACGTGATCACATACTGTACAGGGGTAAACATAAGGACTTTTTTGTTGTTGTTGTTGACAAAATCTGGTTGTCCTCCAAAATTTTTGGTAGTCCTTTCGAAAAATGAAGAATTTAATTGGAAATATTTAGATTTTTAAGATGGAAGACATTCTGAAAGAAGAGCGGTGATTTAAACTTATTTTCTCTAATTTACTTTTAATCTAATTTTAATGTTTTCAGCTCAGAAGCTGTCTGATATATTTATTTTAAAAATTATAAGAGTCCTTTACACAGAATATTTTTTGATTGACAGATTTCTCCCCTAAAATGATAGTTTAATTTAAACGGATTATATTTACAGGATTTCAGCTCATGTAGTCATTTAATACCATTTAATTTTCATATTTACTGAATTACATTTTGTTACCTCCAAAGGTTTATAGGAACTAAGTACATTTACTTCATTGCAGTACATAAGTAGTTTTTTTTTTTTTTGAGGATTTGAAATTTTACCAACTATTTTTAAAAAGCTACTTTTACTTTGTTACATTTTAAAGCTAAAAATTCTTACTTCTCTACTTTAAAATGTAAGACCTAGTTCCTTGTTACAAAATTAAATACGTTCAACTCATGATGAAAGAAAATGTTTCTGCGCTCTAAAAAATGAATTGTTGAATTTACTCAACAAAGTCAAGTCAACTGGTTCCACTAAGATTAGTCGAGTAAATTGAGCAAAGAATATACATTTAATGTTCAATTTGCTCAACCTGGCTTAGTGGAACCAGTTTGGTTCAATAAATTCAACAGTTTATTTATTAGACAATGTGTAAAACTACTTTTACTTTCCCAATATTTGTGAACAGTTTTATTACTTTTACTTAAGTAGTTTTCTCATCTGTGAAATGTATTTTTACCAAAGTCATTTTCTGTTCATGTAATTTTACTTTTACTTAGTTATTTTTTTCAAGTACTTTATAGACCTCTGGTTACCTGTCATTATGGTTCTAAGTACGTTTAGCACAAAACAAACACCTGGTATAATTAAATTTATCAGATATTTATGATAAACAAACACCTGGTATAATTAAATTTATCAGATATTTATGATAAACAAACACCTGGTATAATTAAATTTATCAGATATTTATGAT